GCGTAGGTAGCCTTTGTGGCACTGGGATAATGATGATGATAGATTCAGTCACCAGAAGCCGATATTTTGATAGAATGAGAGTAGGGGTGTGCACCGATTCAAAACCGGACCGGACCAGAACCGGATTTGTAAGGAAATGAAAACCGGACCGGATATATTCCGGTTTAGACCCGGAACCGGACCGATTTTACCGGTTTAAAACCGGAACCGGATCGGAAGAACCGGTTTCTAAATTATTAATTTAATATGCTAAAAAATACAACTAATTTGTTTAATAAAAATGGGGTATTTATTACTAAAATTTTACTATTACTACTATTATTTATTTATTTATTTATTTATTTATTTATTTATTTATTTATTTATTTATTTATTTATTTATTTATTTATTTATTTATTTATTTATTTACTTTATTAGTCTTATAGAGCAAAGCTTGAAGCAATTTGAGGGTAGAATAGTAAATATTAGTTAATTCTATCATCAAGAAAATAAGAATACATAGATGAATAAAACATTACGAAAATATTTAACTATTTATATTTATATTTTTATAACTATCGTTAATTTTATTATTCTATAACCATTTTATATTAAGACTATTAATTAATTAATATATTAAAAAATATAGAAAACCGGTTTAATCCGGTTCAAACCGGAATGATTCGGTTTTTAATCGGAACCGGGCTAGAAACCGGATTTACAATATTTGAAAACCGAAAACCGGATCGGATATCATCCGGTTCGGTTCCGGTTTTTTCGGTTCGGTTCGGTCCGGTTTTCCGATTTGAACCGGTTTGTGCACACCCCTAGAATGAGTAACTGCTTAGGATGTTTTCTTTTGGACTGAAATTTACTGGTCTGATCTGGTCTGAACTGGTCTAATCTGGTCTGGTAAACATCTGGTCTCTGTGTACTTTATAACTACGAAAGTCTGGTCTGGTCTGGGACCGAAAATAGTCCAAAAGAAAACATCCTTAGGTAGTGGGGGACACATATAGACTAATTAAACTCTTTTTATCTGATCTAATCTTCCAAGTTCCAACTCTATATTAGCCGGTCTTGGTTTTCTTGTTCTTTTAATAGCTCTTGACAATCATGCGTTGTCCGAAATAGCTTTAAATTAACCTATTTTATCTCATGAATCATGATATAACAAGTCGTCTCGTACAAGGCCATACCAATGCATTGAAGTTAAAAATTGTTTAGATTTAAAAATTCCCGATTTGGACTGAGTTTGCATGGATGGAAATTCACCGGAGCAGTACAATGGGGGAATTTGGACGGACCAGACGTGGAAGATAAATGACGGGAGGCTGACGGAGCTCCGGTGTGAGTTCGGCAGACTGAACAGGAGAGAAGGGCAACGACAGGGTGGGCTTTGACACATACATGACTACATGAGGTGACGAATTCATAGGCGCATGTCAGAAGATTGAGGAGGTAGGATCGGGAGAAGAATTGGAGCTACAGAATTGGGGAGATCCAGAAAAGTCATAAGGCAGGGAAGGTGAGGTACTCGGAGGGAAAGAGTCAGGTGATTGGGTCGATGGCGGGTTGCCATATAGAGGATAGAGGGAGGAGAGATGAGTTGATTGCCCGCATAGACAGCTCAGTTGATTACAAGAGTGAAATTTGGATCAAGGAGATGAGGAGCTGATATGGGTGCTATTATTGATCAGGCTAAAGTGAAAGTGTTAGTGGGAGCACAAGAGGTTCACTATGAGGACACACTGATTAGGGCTGTTAACGAGTGGAGCTTTTATCGAACTATTCGAGTTCGAGCTCGTTTCGAACCTAACGACCCGAGCTTCACGGGCTTTCGAACTCGAACTCGAGCCGAGTTTTAAGTTCGAAAACGTAATCGAGTCGAGCTTGAACATAGTAGTATTCGGCTCGGTTCAAGCTCGAGGCTATCGAACACCCTGAAATTATAAATATAATTTATATATATGTCAAAATTTAATTATAATTAGTATGATTTTATGAATTTAAATATGATTATTAACGAATCGAATATTTGCCGAATAATTCGAGCACGAGCCTATTAACGAGCATAATCTAAATTTTAAATTCGAGCATATTTATCAAGCTTATTGAGCGCTCGGTTTGAACATCGAACACCTATCGAGCCGAACACGAGCCTCATTTGTAAAGCTCGCCGAGCTTCAAGCTCGAACCCGAACAACCCTGTTACCGAATCGAGCCGAGCTCGAGCTCTGAGTCGTCAGGCTTGGCTCGGTTCGTTAACAGCCCTAACGCTGATGGATAGAGAAACATTTTCACAAACACAAGTATGACGATCAATACAAATACAATCAACTTTAGGATCAACACATCAATAACCCTTATAACGAGACACATACCCTAAAAAGATGCATTGAAGAGAACAAAGAGAAAGTTTGTTAGAAGAAGCCGCAAATACATTATATTGGGATAGCATGATGTCCCCAAATACACGCATAAAAGAATAATGGGAACTTTTATGAAAAGGTTTTTTATATGGACAAAACTATTTGAGAAGAGGAAACGGTAATTGATTAATGATCTAAGCAGTTGTAAATACAACATCAACCCAAGAATGACTCAGAAGAGAGGCTTCAAGAAGCATGGTCGTAGTTAGTTTTAGGAAATGAAGATGTTCACGCTCTGCCACCCCATTCACCACCTTCATCACTTTAGGAAAACTTTAATTTTGTGATTAAAAATATTTTCAAAAGGGTTTTAAAAATTTTAAAGTGACCAAAACTTCACTCTTGCGCATAAATACAAACAGGTAAAATGAGAAAAATCATTAATATATTAAATTAAACATAAAATTTAAAATGTAAATTAGAAAGGACATGAGATTGTTAAACATCTGAATAAATTAATTGTAAATGTCAAGAACAATCATGAATAATATTTTAAACATGTAATTGTTGTGATTTTTCGTAATTGACAATAATGAGAAAAAATAAAACTACTACAAAGAAGTTGTTTCCCTAAGATGAAGTAAAACTTTGTCACCATAATGGCTTAATCTACTATGCCATACTAGACTAGCTAGGAGCCATGAAAGAAGACAATGGGACAAGAGGAGGATGGAGGGTCATCGGATAGAGATTTCCAATATTGGTCGCCCATGGAAGAATTATCACCGGAACTTTGTCTTTAACAAAAGAGAATCTTTTATTTAGAAAATAACAATACAGATGCATCAACATACATTTTTTGAATATAAATTAAAACATATTTAATGTGTGACACATGATAAACGAATTCTATTAGGAGAGGATGGCCAAATGAATTTAAAGCTAAATCTCCAATATGAAGAACGGAAGATGAGTATCGCAACACTGACGTACAGATGTGAGACCAAAATAAGGGGGTTTATGAACTAAAATACCTCGTGAAGAAGTCATATGAGGAAAAATACCCAAATCAATCAGGATATATACCATAAGAATCACTAGTTTCACCATTCAGAACTAAAAGTGGAGCAAATGGTTGATTAAATAAACGAGGACACCACTACAAAAAAAAGGCGGGATTGGCACGGAATTTGGCACGGACTTATAAATTTTTCGTGTCAAATAGCTCGTGCCAAAGTGTTTTTGGCACGGATTTGGCGTATCCCTGCCAAAATCCGTGCCAAATCCGTGCCAAAATCTCTGCCAATCCCGTGCTTTTTTTGTAGTGCACCTAAGAGCACAATGACCCGTGAAAAAATAATCCTGGCAAATAAGTGGAGGTATAATGGACTCAAAAATACCCTCATCTGATGAGATCTCTGTAGATCCACAATTAGTATAATGTGTAGATATGGATTTAGTATTTGAATGTGACAAAAAAGACATATTGTCTTTTTTGTCACATTCCCTGAAGCTGAACCAAATCCAACTGCATGCGGGAGTGGGTTGGGTTGCTGGCCCGGTGCTAAAGTGGCAGGTTGACGACCACGTTACAAGTGTCTCCACCCTTTTTATGAACCATCATTATTAAAACATTGTCATCTTTAAAATTTTAGATTAATCAAATCACACTTTAACCAATGATATATTTCTTTAGTAAATTACTTATATTATAAAAATGATATAAAATATTCTGTTCTTTGTTATAAGATACTTTCATAAAAGTATAAAATTTATAACTTTTTCATAAAATTATACTAACAAAAATCATCGTCCAAATTTTATCACTATTGACTTAAAAAGTCAAAGATGATAAAGTTTTAAGGAACATAAAAAGTACTACATATAACCCTTGTAATCTACTCTATTAGGAAGTATAATCTAACATGGTAATTGATATTATATGAGACACAAACCAAACCAAAACAACTTAGAAGTAACAAGTAGTTTGCTAAGATCCCTACCTAGGATGTTTTTAATGTGGACTCAAATTTTTTCCGGTCAGACCTAGTCTGGTTTGATCTATGATATAGTCCGCTCCGATCTATTAGATGTCTGTTCTATTGCATTTTACAACCATCGAAGTCCAATTTAGTCTAATTTGTTCTGGATTATTCTGATATCGTCTCGCCTAATTTGAACTGATCTACGCTATCTTGGTCTCGTTGAAAATAGTCTAATTATATGAAACGTTCCAAAACCCACACATGCTTCTGTGTGTAATTTCATGTGCCCATATATGAAACCATGCACATTAAACACTTCCTCCTTTCTGAAATATAATCTCTTCTTATACAAATACTACGTATTATTCAATTTTCTATTCTCCAAGATGGACACATAAACTGCATGATTATTTTTTAAAATGGAATGGTATTACAGATAATATATTAAAAACCTTAATAATTATTTTATTATATGTTCTTAATTATGAAATTTCGTCCATAAATACCAATGGGAATTGGGAACTGATAGAGTATACGAAAAACATTGAAGTTTGACAATTAATCATCATCATTATACAAAAGTCAAACAACAGGGGGTGGGGTGGGGGTTGGTTCGCTTTTTCTCTTCAACTATAAATACACCAAGTACAGGATTCCCTAAATGCAGAGGACACATAAAAAGCTCCCTTCTTCCATCCCTCTGAGCAAAAAAACACATTTACTCACTCTCTGTTGTTTCTCAATAGAAATCTTGGAAAGTGAAACTGACGAAATGGATCATAGTCATTTGAGAATGATCTCAGAAAATGCAGAAGTTCAGCAATCCCTCTCCGACCTCATTATAAACAGCGGGAAATGTTCATCAAGCTCCATTTTTTCTGATCCCCTGCTTAAGAAAATCCCGATTACCCCTCTGGGTTCTTCAGTGTATCTCACGCATATAGATTTACTCCGGAAGCTCGGCCAAGAAACCAAAGCGAACCCATTCAAGAATTCTTCTCTGGTTCGTCCGGCCACCGCGGAAACGACGGCGATGATGAAGATGCTGAAGAAGAAGGTGTACAGAGGAGTGAGGCAGAGGCACTGGGGGAAATGGGTGGCAGAGATTAGACTCCCTCAGAACAGAGTCAGAGTTTGGTTAGGGACTTATGAGACTGCCGAGACCGCTGCCTATGCATATGACGCCGCGGCCGTTATACTCCGCGGCGACTATGCGCGGCTGAATTTCCCCGAGCTTCGCGATCCCGAGAAACTCGGGGGAAACCCAAAGCTGGTTGCTGTCAAGAATGCCGTCTATGCGAAAATCCAATCTATAAACCAGAAGGTGAAAATGGAAAGAGATAAGAATAAGAAGAAGAAGATGGTGACGAAGAAGATCGAATCCGGAGGGATTGTTCATGTTATTGAGTCGTCTTCATCGTCATCTTCTTATTCTTCCTCCTCGTTTGCTGGAACGGAAAGTGGGAATGTTTTAGTGGGAAGTCCTTCGAGTGTGTTCTCTGGAGATGGGTTTTCGATGAGGGAGACGACTTCGCCGCTAAGCCCCACCTCCGGCGAGATTTTGACGGCGCCGGGTCAACCAGAGTTCGAAGGTTGTTCCCTTGCGAGAATGCCTTCATTTGATCCAGAGTTGATATGGGAAGTTCTGGCCAATTAAGAGTTATTTTTCTCCTTTACCCAAGATAGTGAGTTTTACTGCTGAGTATATCATGTGTACTCCCCTAAATGATCATTTCAGTGTTTTATTGCGTTTTAGTTCTACAATTGTAACATATGTATTGGTTCTTGCATGCATTATTTAGATGTATAGGTCTAATGTTTTGATGTTATGTACTCTCTCCATCCCACTAACAATGGGACATGAAGAGCAACAAACATACCAATAAAGTTGAGTTTATATGGTTGATATTGAATTGATAGAGTAAGAATAAAGTAAGAATGATTTAAAAAACCACAAAAATCTTACTAAATTTGGTTTGAGACAATCTTAGTGGGACGGATCGAAAAGAAAAATTGGGAGAATATTAGCTAGACGGAGGGAGTACTATCTTAGATATATTAATATGTGAAACAACTCTTATATCCGCATATATGGAGCAGATTTAAGATCAAATACAAATAGTCCTTCGCTCCTTCCCATGAAAAGTAGTAATAAATCCAGAACATCAGATTTAGAATATAATTACTCTAAATATGTCAAAAATGCATTAAAGTGGGTGAAAAACGCGATAGCATTTTCATAAATAAATCAAAGTGTACTGCAAAGGATCAAAGTGGATGAAGAAAATTTTCTCAATGCAACAATGCAACTCAGATGCTCAAAAACGGGACGTTCACATTTTATATTTGAGTAAAGGGTCAGATTGGTACTCAAAATTGCATAAAAAGGGTCAAATAAGTCCTTACTGCCCGGCCGTCACCATTTGGGGCGGTTCCCGGTGGAATTTTTTGATGAATTTTTTTGAGCATTTTATTCATTAAATCTAGTTTACTCATACCAAATTTTAGCTAAAACTTCAATCGGGAAGACATTCAAATGAATTCTTGAAGATAACTGTGCTTTTAACTCTATTCTAGCTTTGATTAGTTTTGATCTAGTCTGATATGATCTGAAATTGAAATCACTCCAATTAAAACCATTCTAAAAGCATTTCTAATGCAAAAACGTGAACGGTGTGCATATTTGGCATGAGTGATAGCCACTTAAAAAATAACAAATAGAATATTTCTTCTTTATTTGAACGGTCTTATATGTTTTTGGTAAGTTTTTCTCCAAAATATCAAACACAATGTATGGAGTAGATATTGTGGTAGACATTTTTGAGAAAAACTTACCAAAAACAACAAATCTGTGGAAAGAAGGGGAGATAAATGCATAAATTTAATCTTTTGTTTTTATCTCTCTCATGTCATATGTGCACCGTGAACATTTTAGGATTGAAGATGTTCTAATACATATATTCGTTTATATGCATCTCTCATCTATATAAGTATAACAAAGATTGATAATTATAAATAAATGTTGCTCTGTAATTACCAATGTTCTAAAAGGCGCTAGGCGCTAGTCGGGCGTCAGCACAGCACCTAGCGCCTAGGCGGGTAGTTAGGCGCCTTAGGTGGCCGACTAATTCACCTAGGCGCCAAATCAATTAGTCGAAGCGCCTAGACTAAAATCGGGGCGCCCGAGTACCGCCTAGCGCCTAGGCGGGGACTAATCGGGCGCCTAGAGCGATTTTTAGAACCATGGTAATTACTAATTAGTATGTAAAAGCATTTACGATAAGGTCAAGGTTAAATTTCTTAAATTGAGTTAAAACATAACGCTTGTTATCAAATGGGATCGGATAACGTACTAGTGTTTCCTCAAAACATGATGTATATTCACTTCTATTTTTTTGTGTGCTTTCTAATTTGTTGTAGTACAACATTTCTAATTTGTTATAGTACAAGATCGAGATTGCAACATTTATTGAAAATGTCAGAGTGATGTCGTCAGATCACAATGTTCTCACCATTTATTAAAAATTGTTTATCACTTTTATTTTTTCTAAAGACTAGTTAAGTGTCTTTTATTTTTGGATAAAATAATGACATTATGATGTTTCTGTCTGGTTTCACTCTCGAACTAGATCAGACAAGATAAGACTTAAACAGGCCATGCCAAACTTAGTTAAACAGATCATATCATATTTTGATAGTGGTAAAGTATACATAGAATAAATATTTATGAAACCATACCATAAATATTTCAATCCAATACAAACATCCTTCTTTGTGCACTTTACTTCTACTTCTCTATTATTTTGTTATTTTCATTTAGATGAACATTTGAATGTTCAACGAATGAAATACTAATTTGATATTTTAAAAAATGTGGTATACCAATAGTGATATATTAATTACGAATACAATACCTCTATTCACTAAGATTGTCTCATACCTATTTTGATAATTTTGTGTCGATCTAAATCGTTCTTACTGCATTTACACTTTATCATTCAGTATCAATCACATAAGCTTCGGTATTTCTCGATAACCGTACCAATATTAGGGGACGTCCCATGCACGGAGGTAATTAATAGTCATTATGAATCCATGACAAATGGTCTTGCAAAACAATATACTCCGTATTGAGTAAACAACCGGTGGGCGTAGCTCAATTGGTAGTGAGGGAGTGCCACAAGAGTTAGGTCTCGGGTTCGAATCCCGACAACTGCGATGATGGGTTACTATGCTGAAAAATGCATAGGGCTTCTGCAAGTACCGGGGACAGACCCTCACTCTCTATCTGTCAGATTGTGATTATAGTTCAATTTACATCCTTCCATCGTGTCGTCCGGTCGGTGTTGAGGGGCCCTTAGGATGGACAAGGTGTTCGGGGTGAGCAACGTGACAAAGATGGTGAAGAACGTGAGGGAGCCGGAGCGGTAAGTAGCGGGGTGTCATCCTTTTTTCTCCGTATTGAGTAAACAGAATAGCTCCCTAACTATGCTCCTAACTAATTGTGAAGCGGATCATATATTACTATAGATGCAAAATCTCACGCAGCAGAAACCCAAATCAAATCTTGCAAACATTGCTATAACAGTGCAAGAAATTTTTTGGTAGTAATAAAAGAAGATTGCCACTCTTTTCGCCGAGCAACATGTGATGTGTTGCGAGTTGAGACTCATAGGAAGCTACGTGTGGGGTAGAAAGCTGTCAATGTATGACGTGTATAGCCATATTGGCTTCTACATTTATGGTGAAAATCTTTTGAAGTTCTTAGTTCAACATTTGATAAACAGTTTCTAGAATACTTATAAAGAAAAATGAGATCGATAAGCAATGACGTCTAGTTTTTAGATTTTTTGTTTGTTTGTTTATTTTCTTGTAATTCCGGTAGACTCTCATCCTCATTTATATATTGAGATAAAAAAGTATTATACTCCGGCTACAAAGTATTTATTTTCTTGTAAAGAGAGAGTGAGTAATATTCCGGTCATGAATTTTTTACCGTAACTCTCATCCGGCCACCTCTATTTGAGATGTTCATGATGTGCAAATACGTTTGTCCACAAATTTCAGTTTAAAACTCAATAGAGAAATCAATTAAATGAATTATTAAAAAATACGGCGTAAAATATATACGAAGTATACAAAATGTAGTGTGAAATATTTCAAGGGAAAAAATGTTTCAAAGAAGTAAAAATCTACAAGTATTCTTATTTTTCATGAAAAGACACCTATTAAATTTAAGCTGAAATTTTGTGTATATATATACATATACATTTCCATAAATATACATACGTACGTACATACATACATACATACATACATGCATGCATGCATGCATGCATGCATGCATGCATACATACATACATACATACATACATACATACATACATACATACATACATTCATATATATACACACACATACATACGTACGTACATACATACATTCATATATATATACACACATTCATATATACACTACGTACGTACGTACGTACGTACATACGTACGTACGTACATACATGCATGCATGCATGCATGCATGCATGCATACATACATACATACATACATACATACATACATACATACATACATACATACATATATATACACACACATGTATAGGTTTTGGTTCAAATAAGAATATGATCTTAGGAGAGAAATGAGAATGAATCTGGGCCGTTAGATTCGCTTTAAGTGAAATTCAATGTGCATTAGATGAAACTGTAATGTGCATTCGGTGAAATTGAAATGTGCAACACAAAGGGTACGATACAATGACATTATGTGAAGCTGAATTGTGCATTAAGTGAAATTGAAATGTGCACTAGGACAAACTGAAATGCATGTGCAAAATAAAGGTACGATGTGATGTTACTTTTGTACCTTTTATTCTGTACATTTTAGTTTCACCTGATGCACACTTGAGTTTAAGTATTTATTCTGCACGTTTCAATATCATCTAATGCACATTTCAGTTTCACCAAGTGCACAATTCAGTTCCACATAATAAAGTATAATCCAACGGTCTAGATTCATTCTTATTTCTCTCCTGGGAATCCGTTCTTACCGGAACCGCTCCATATATATATATATATATATATATATATATATATAGTGGCGGAGCTAGAAATCTATGGTTAAGGGGGCCGATTCTTAAAAATTTTACATTGTTGGGGCCAAAGTTTAAAACATCAACATGTTTTCTATAGATTAAAAGTATTTATACATAATATATACTTAAGAATTTTTTTATTGCAGGGGCCGAGGCCCCCTCCAGCCCCTCCCTGTTTCCACCCCTGTATATATATATATATATATATATATATATATATATATATATATAGAGCGGTTCCGGTAAGAACAGATCTTAGGAGAAAAATGAGAACGAATCTGGACCGTTGGATTGTATTATGTGGAACCAAATTGTGCATTTGGTGAAACTGAAATGTGCATTAAATGATATTGAAATGTGCAAAATAAAAATTTAAACTCAAGTGGGCATTAGATGAAACTGATATGTGCGAAAAAAGTACAAAAATAACATCACATCGTACTTTTTATTCTGCACATTTCTGCTTCACCTAGTGCACATTTCAATTTCACGTAATGCACAATAAAACTGCACATAATGCCACTCTATCGTACCCTTTGTGATGCACATTTCAATTTCACCTAATGCACATTACAGTTTCATCTAATGCACACTGAATTTCACTTGAAGCAAATCTAACGGTCCAGATTCGTTCTCATTTCTCTCATAAGATCGTGTTCTTATTTGAACCAAAACCTATATATATATATATATATATATATATATATATATATATATATATATTGTGTGTGTTAAAATAAGAAAGCAACAATAACTTATTATTTGCGTATGAAATTATTCTGTCAATATTGATTTGTAATAGGATTGCCGTATTATTTATGTTCTGTGTGGAAGAAATAGACTTAAATTGATAACACATCATTCAGATAGTAGGGAAACTGACAAAAGGATTTCTGACAACTGCCGACACTCGAACCAGACTCGGAGTTTATCACCTCGACAGAAGCAGTATAACTCGCTGATCCATTAATGGGCGCAACTGAGCCAAAGACGGTTACCACAATCCTTTCATCACCCACATCCAAATCTACAGTCTTACAGCAAAAAACAAACCAAAAGGGAAAGCGAACAGTATGATCAAATAAATTAAAAAAAAAACAATAAAATCAAACTCTTGCTCCTTCCAGAGCACCACTTCCAACCACGTCCCGGAACCTCCTATCTGTTTCTGATACTCCGGCGGCGGTTCAGGAGGAGGACGAGCCGGCAGTACTGTAGCTTCTTCTTCACTCTGCCTCTTATTCATCACCTTATCTATCAAGTCTCCACTTTCGCCACCAATCACAGATGACCTTGAACCTAGATTTGTTCCAACTTTTAACCCCATGCTTCGCCCATGACCTTTACTCGATAATATTCTTAGTCATATTATTTAAGTTTTTAGCATAATGTCTATTTAGTTCTATTTTTAGGTATGTTACAATTTCCATTTAATCCTCAAAGACTCAATGATCCATCCAACCCTTTAATTCTAACTGACGCTGTCATTTTGATTTGAAATAATTACGTGTATATTACCAAAATAAATGTTGCTCACACAAATGTGACTTTTTAAGTATAATGACTACAGTAGTAACTTAATCATAGTAATTTATGTTCAATTTTTACACTTAAGTGTCTATGAGATTTGGGTGTACTTACTCATTTCATTTTCATTTACCCCAGTGTCGCAAAGGCTCCCACCTACGATGGGGTAGGGGGGTCGGATGTATGCAGTCTTACCCCTGTACTAAAGCATAGAGAGATTGTTTCCGGATGACCCATAGTGAAAATCGCGTCCAAAATTGCATGGATTGACTGCTGCTTCATAACAAAGAAGCGCAGACAGCTTAGTGAGCCATTTGCTTTATTCCATCATATTCTTAAGCCAAAAAATAATGAATCTTTGGCTCCATTGCAAATGATGGAAGAATTTGGGTGTAGTTACTAACTTACTATTAGTCATAATTTTATAAATAAGTTTCATTTTAATAATATTTAAAAAAAGACTCTTGATTTTGAACATTTAAAGGTGGATGACAATGAACTTTACTATTCTTAGTCGTATTGAACTTTGTTAGGCCCAATAGTAAATACGGAGTATATAATTTGAAACATCCAAGTCTAGGATAATATGAGTCCACGACTCACTGTCTCTGAGATAGAGTACTCGAGATGAAAGGGAATAGTCTGCGAATGTATCAGTTGCCTTCTAGACCGCAAGACTCCGCTCTTATCCATGATGGGGAGGTGCCTCAACTTTCCAAGCCAGAGTAGCTCAAGACCCATACCTACGAGTCTAGGACTCAACTTGCCGCTCAGATTTGTCATTCGAATATGATAGTGTTGTGCTATGGATGACTCCCCCGAAGTCGGAGCATGATGTCTAGAGAGAACTTATGAATCATCACACTTCTATGACGTGACCTATTAATGCGGTTCTTCAATACTGAGACAATGTAATTTGTAGGATTCGATTTCATACACCCACTTTTGAATGTAAAAGATGTGCACTAATCAACAGAATAAGTCTTTTGGAAAAGTTTTTTCTTAATTTTTTCTTAAATAGGACAAAGAGTATAATTTAATATATGACTAAACATACTTATAAGACTTTACGTTCCCAAACATAATTAACTTCTTATACATCTTAAATAAGCACACTACCTATAATTATATTATGACATTTCAAAATTCAAATTATAATAAAAGCTTGGTGTGCCCAAGTGCACGAGAATGCGAGCTTGCACACATTCATTATCATTCATCATCATTATCCCAATATCAGGACCCCTTCCACCTTCGGTAGGCTAAAAGGGAATTAGATATACGCGAGCTTACCCATGTACCCATGTTTTCGGATGCAAGCTTGCACACATAAATAGTTTAATTGATATGCTTTGTGTTCAATACTACCCATGTACCCATGTTTTCGGATGCAAGGTTGCACACATAAATAGTTTAATTGATATGCTTTGTGACATTAGGGGTGGACTCGGGCCGGTTCGGGCCCGGTTGGCCCGGCCGGTTCGCAGTTTAGAAAAACTAGGCCCGAGCCTGAACCGCCGGTGGCCGGTTCCGGTTCCGGGCCAAACCGGGCCGGGCCAACCGGCCAACATATTTTTTTTTTTTGGTTTTTGGTTCTTCTATTTAACCCCCTACCCCTCCCCCTCAACCCCAAACCATCCCAAACCACCTCAAATGGCCCAAAATACCTAATCCAACCTAAAACTTAAAAAAATTTCAAAAAAAAAAAAAAATAAAATCCGGCCCGAACCGGCCGGGCCGGTTCACCAAAAGCTGGGCCCGAGCCCGGACCGCCCAGCACCCGGGCCGGGCCAAACCGAACCGGTGGACCCACCGGGCCACGGGCCCGGCTGGGCCGGGCCAAACGGTGACCGGGCCGGTTCGGTCCCGGTTCGGGCCGACCGGCCCGAGTCCACCCCTACTTTGTGTTCAATACTTCAATTTCCATAAACTTTTTCGTAATTAGAATGCATTTAAATCTGTAAGTATGCAACTGACCGTTACTGACGAACTCCTTATTATTCCTTACTAAAATGGACTAAAAGCATTTGACTTCAAGAAAAGCGACACAATTAGGGCGAATAGGGCCTACCTTACCTAAGCAACAGTGTAAAAACTTGCCCATCCCCTTACAACCAGAACAAGACATACTACTGCACTACTTTTTTTTGGACCCCATAATTATCCAATGGGTCAGAAGTCGGCGCTAGAGTTTGCGCATAAGAAGTTGACAGAACACAAGCCTTTGAGACTCGGTCTAATGAATGCATATAATATAGTATAATGGCAAAAAGTGCAAATAGGCCCATTTAATAATAAAAAAAGGTCAAATAAGCCCTTATTTAGGAGGCTCTGTCCGGCCGTCACCATTTGGAGTGGTTCCCGGTGGAATTTTTTGATGAAAATTTTTGAGCATCTTATTCATTAAGTCTAGTTTACTCATACCAAATTTCAGCTAAAACTTCAATCGGGAAGACATTCAAATGAATTCTTGAAGATAACTGCGCAGTTATTTTCAAGAATTCATTTGAATGTCTTCCCGATTGAAGTTTTAGCTGAAATTCGGTAGGAGTAAACTAGACTTAATGAATAAGATGTTCAAAAAAATTCATCAAAAACTTCCACCGGGAACCATCCCAAATGACGACGTCCGGACAAAGCCTCCTAAATAAGGGCTCATTTGACCTTTTTTGGTTAGTACATGGGCCTATTTGCACCTTTTCCCTAGTATAATTATAGGAAAAACAAACAAAATATTATATGCAGGAAAATACCTATGTTGTAAGAACCGGACCGGTGAGTGACCCGGACAAATGATTGGGTCACGGGTCAACCCGGATCTGGCGGGTCAACGACCGGTAAACTCGGTCAACACGAATACACATATTTATATATAAAATAAAAATCAAGAATAGAAAACCTATATCATTTCTTAATTTAATATTGAGAATAAAATATTATTAATGTCAAAAAAAATATATTTTATTAAAGTATATTAGTTTTAACAAAATGTAAAATACATTTGTGTATAAAATGGATGATAAATAATTTAAATATGCACATAATACCAATTACAAAATAAGAGAAAATAAAAAATAAAGATGACATAGCTAATGTCAGATTGACGAATAAATAGAAAAGTATAATTTTTATTATAAAATAATTATTTAATAGACTAATTAAAGCTCAATTAAATGGTACACATTCACAAGGTATAAGGATTGCTAAGCATCCTAAACAACCAACTGGCGTACGTAGCCCATTGGTAGGAAACACCAAGCTGCTTCAGTTGGCTCGCGTTCGATTCCCGCGGCCAACATCTTTTCCCGAGTTTGGAGTGGTTCGGGTCCGACCCGGGTCTGGACGGGTCGCCGGTTAAATCCAATTTTCACAACATTTGCAGTTCGATGCCCAACCGGACCGGATTGGTGGCCAGGTGGGCGGGTTCCGGGTCAGACCGGCCGGTCCGGTTCTTACAACATAGGAAAATACCAGCTATTTCCCAAATATGTGGATGTCTTCATTAATGAAAGAAGCAAGCAATCACACAGTTAAACAGATACACTACCAACTTCTTTAATGTCTGAACAATGATTGGAGTGCATATTACAATCTTCCCAACCATATACTCCGTATATTAGAGTACATACATAGCTGTCATGTTTTATATACCTTACAAAGGACACTTGTAAGAAGAACAAGAGATGACTGATATTATATTTATAGATATATAGGAATATAATAGCACTACCAGCTTAGCAAGTTCTTTCCGTGTTGAACTTTCTCACTGTACCGGCTTTCTATATCATCCTGCACAGCAGGGAACTGGTTTAGTTTCTAGAAAGACCTGTTTGACTTTAATTGATTGATTGACTATACATATATTTTGGGCTGGAAAAGTAAAATGCACCTTGCAGGATTTTAGCAAGGGTTGCAAGAAGGAATTTCTGAAATATGTGACTGATTTCCCGAGTGAGGTTCCATCCCATTCTGGAACTGGGAAGAGTAAAAAACCAGTAAATCAAAGGTAAAATGTAAGTGATACAGTACAATTTAAAAAGGACAAATAGCATTAGCTATCTTCAATAGAGATGTTAAGAATTATTATGAGCAGAGTATATAGCGGCTCAGACTTTCAGTCCAGATAATGGGGCATACCATTATTCATCTCAGCTCTAGAGCCTCCCCTGTTAAGTTCTCCAAGAAGCTGCTCATAAAAAAATGGAACCACAGGATATTTAAAAACAACAAATGAACAAAAACTTGTTTTGAGTTACAAAATTAAGATATGTAAGCACACGTGATTGGAAGCAATAGTTTTTACGTTTTAGACATCATTTCGCCACTAGAAAGAAAATTGTCATGTTACTTTTTCCCGCTATGACTCGACACTTTAATTAAGAAAGTGAAAATGCGTTTAGGGGTTATTTACAAAAGTGAAACAATTTCAATCACACAATTATTTTTGCAAATGAAACGGGATGAAAAAAAGAAAAGGTGGAAGAAAATTTTTGGGGCATGAGTATAAATTAACATTAAAGCAAAATGACTCACTAAGTTGTTGTGAAGCAGCAGTCAGCCCATGCAATTTTCGACGCGATTTTCACTATGGGTCATCCGGAAACAGTCTCTATGTGCTTTAGTACAGGGGTAAGACTGCATACATCCGACCCCCTTATCGCACCATAGGTGGGAGCCTTTGCGGCACTGGGGTAATGATAATGATGATGATGATGATACATTAACATTGGAGTATGTACTCACCACAGTCATCAACTCATCCTCAAGTAGTCAAGGATATTTAGATTTTTGAATCTTAATGTAGTGTTAATGTATACTCCCTCTGCCCCCTTTTAAATGTCCCATTTTACTATATTGGGATGTTCCTATTTAATTGTCCCATACCTTATTTGGTAAAGTTTGTATGACTCAAAATCATTCTTATTTTATTCTTACTTTATCAATTACTATCAACTACACAAACTCACTTTTCTTAAAATTCGTGTCAACCTCTTCCGGGACATTTAAAAGGGGACGGAGGGAGTATAATTATATAAATAAGATGAGTGTGAACAATATGTAAATTGATTTGTTGACTTTCAAACAGACGTTTTTCACCTAAAATTTTCTTTACTACTACATTTCACTAGGGGTGAGTAAACGGGAATAGTTGAGTAATGCATTTTCGAGACGGATTAGGGCCGGGTCCTAATTTAAAAAATCTAAATGGGGCGGATTGGTTTTAAAAAACTTAGGAACCAACCGGGTCTTGATATTTGAAAAAATGAGTACCAGACCGACCCATTTTAGAATATTATTTTATTAAACTCTATTTATTTAATATACTAACAACACATGAAAGCTCTTTATGTTCATATGTTTTAGAAAAAAAATCTTACTTGAAGAAACTCGTGAGTCTACTATAAAGAGTTCAAACATATAAACTCTTAGTTTATTATCCCTAATTCTCTATTCCAAATGCAACAAATATCCTTTATTTAATTTCTTTTATAAACAAAGATTCTTACTCGATGAAGTGTGACATATTCATTTAATTATCTTAACTTTACTTACATTTTGAGATTTATTAAGCTTTAAAATTGTTCTCTTGGACATATATGTAAAGTGACTAGTTTAATTTTTTTCGATTTTGTTGTGCTATTTTTGGTTTATGGATGATGATGTCTAATTTTCTACATTTCAATATTTGGTGCTATTTAATTTGTGTACTCATGTGCCATTTAATTTATAGATTAGTGGTTAGATATTTTGTTACTAATTCAAAAATTTGTTATCAATTTTTTATTTTGAAATTATACTATATTATGGTGACGTGTATATTTATTTAGTTTGAGAATGTTATTAATTACTAACTACTTTGGTGGCGTAGCGATATATTTTCCACAAGAAAAGAACCGAGAACCGGACTGAACCGGCTCGTTCCAAACAGGGACGATAAGGTCTGGTTCCTATTTCAAGATTTGGTATACCTAACCCGAATCTACCCGTTTGATGGAACGGCCGGTTCTTGAAAATTTATTAATCAACTAAACCTACCCGGACAGTGCCCACCCCTACATTTCTCTTCTATTTTTCCGTATTCTATTTCCTTGTTATTTCAGGGGTACAACTTGGCCCCACGAGAGCTGGGATCAAAGCAATTGCATTGTGTTTTAATTTACAATCACATGAAGCATTTCATTTCCCAGGACAATATACCAATGGGCGTTTGCATATGAAACACTCTTGTATGCAAGTTTTGCAGCATTACAGTTCAAACTGAAACTGTTTGGGCGAACAGTACATGGAATACCAAGTTACTAACTCAATTTGTTAATGACAATTCTTTTTGTAGTATCGAGAAGCTTTACCACAGTAACTGGCAACCATTTCTTAATTGGATCCAACAGGACTTCAACAAGATGAATAATAGGTGGCAATAGAAGCATAGTATCCAACAAGAAAACGTACTTGTGAAAGAGTTGGCACAGCAGAAGGGTCAAATTCCTCACATTCATTGGGGTCAATAGGAATACAGACACGGCCTGGAGAAAAAGAGGTAACGTATCAATACGAATCTATAATCTTTAGATATTCAAGTGTTGGCATTTCTAGTATTGTTTGCATGACCAGAAAATAACCCTAACAAAGAAGTAATAAACAATATTGCCAAGTACCTGTTTGGGGGTGCACGCAGAATGGTGCTTTCAATAAATGATTCAATTTTCTTGAAACCTGGATATTGCTAGCATGTTAGGTTTATGCATCAATAATTTAAAGAAAAGATATAACTTGTTCTCAATTATTGTTAGGAAAAATTGAAAAGGGCATGTCGCAAAATGCTGCAGTTGCATGTGGAACAGAGAGATAGAAAAGGAAAAGGATGAGCAAACAAACCTCCATATCAAGCCTGGGGTAGGCAAAAGAAAACACAATCTCTTCAACACACCTGCGAATCCCCTGGGCCTGAAATGTGAAATGAAATCACATTCAGAGAAACATCAATAAACTGAGCATAATAGAAATTCAAAAGAAAATGTCTGCTTGAAGAATCTGTTGAGAGCTTTTCAAAGGCAATTAGGCAAATGTGTAATCCACAGTAGAAATTCATAGAATAGGTATATTCACAAAAACATGATGAAAATTGCAGCATAAGATTGTCACTGTACCAATAAGAAAACAAAAATACAAATTTTAGATACTTGAAGATACAAAGATGACAATGTGAAAATGCATGATACCGATGTGGTTTTAAAGAGTGTTTCCGTGAAGCTATATACCTTGTGTTTACCAGATTGTAGCAGGTGTTTTAGTTGTTCCCATCTGTAAACATTAATATCCTCTTTGACACGTTTATTTTCCTGCCACCTTGACCTGAGTTCAGATGCAATATCTGCAACAAATTAACAATAACCTAACATAATATTAGGAGATGAGAAAAGAAAAACATAGTTCTGTATGGAGAATGATTCACAAAAAATAAACATCCATACGCTCATCAGGAATCAATTTCAGCATCTCCTCACATCTTTCCTGGCTTGAGAGCAAATTTTGACTTACAAGCAGTCTTTTCTCAAAAAAATCCTTCAAGACATCTGTGTATGATCTCCTGCAGAGGATGAATGTGAACTGAATGAGAACATAGGAAAACTTAAAATCAGGAAAATGTATATAAAGCAGGACAGAACACAAAATAACTTAAGACTCTTACTTACACGAGGAAAGGATGAAGTGTTGGACCCATGAGAGAAACTTTTCGATTGCTATTCTCGTTTCCCTGAATTTTTATAAAAACTCTTATGTAATGTAATATAGTACCTTTAATTATTTCAGTGCTACTAAAACAGTTGTCAAGAACCTTGTAGACACGAAAGTAATCAGCTACAGCAGCCCTTTGTTCATTATTCAACCTGATGAAAAAGAATATCAACAGAAATTTCCAACTTCAATTCTCAATGTATCACAATACACTAATTAAAACTGTAAATCCCTATAGCGCAGCATCACCTTCTAGCTTTTACATCACATACCCAACAATGGACACCACGCCGACCACTGTAAACCCAAAGGATGTGATTGAAACCAAAGTCCTCTGCGAAGAATGTTATAAATAAGTGTGAAATGGCATTCAATTACTATTCAAAGATAATGACACTGTTTATAAGGGAATGACATGAAGACACCTAGACAGTGAATAGAACAATGAGGAAACCTCCATACAGGCAAATATTTAACAATGGCATCACACAGACATTTACAGTGAAATCTAATCCGATTGAAAATAACAGCCAAGTAGAAGCAAAAAACATCAATCCCTCAACACCAAGAAACAAGCTGGATGAGCAAGGGGATGCTTTCTACTCCACATTTATTGTGAAAGTGTCAGCTAAAATATATAGTCAACTGTTAATAGACAAGAGGATACATGAAGATAGTGAGACCTAACAACTTAAAAAGACCTACAATCATGATTCAGCAAAAAAGGGTGCACATCTACTGGCTTTATTTGGTTTTAGTATTTCACTCTTTCAAACATCATTGCAGTAAGACATAGTTGCTCAGTTTACACGACCTGCATACCTCTGAGAGAAGTATCAATGACTTTAATAGCAACTGTCATCAGTGTCCAGCAGTTAGAGCAAGTATTAGCTTCTTTGCAGCAATACCTGACGTCATCATAATCTGATATATCCTGCAGTCAACAATAAGCCTGTTAGATTGAGATAAGCATATTTTCATTCACACAGGCCAAGAGCTTACTATATCGAAGACCAGCTCCTTCTCAATCGGCGTGAAGCTATTATCGCCTTGTGCATAGGCATGCCTTTTTGCTGGCTGCAAAATGGGGCTAAAAACGTGTTAAGAAGGATCAATACTTTTAGAAGCGCAAAAGGACTAAAAAGATATCCACTTGTAACAAAGACAAGTCGACAATTATAAAAGGAGCCATGTTAAAGGGAGAAATAAGTATAGAAATAATACATCCACATTATAAACAGCTCCAATGTCAATTTTGAACGGACACTTCTCCTTGATGGATTTTTCCAAATCATAAGCATTGTTGAATGATTGAAACCGCAGATATATGTTATTATCTAAAGTGAATGAAAATTCTCTACGTCCAAAGTATGACTGGTCACATCCAGGATGCTTTCCATCTAGAGAAATCCAATAGGACAAATATTCAGTAATACTGAAAAAAGTGAAAGCAAATTTAAAAGAACGAAAAAGAGTATAGGCATATGCAGCTCAAGAAATTAGGATTTACCATTTCCATAAGAAAGCCATTTAAACATATCAACATATGGAAAAAGCTTTCCTGCCACACACAAAAAATATAGTAAGGTCACACTGAAATACTACCCCCATCCCATAATGTAAGATACAAGTGTGTTTCACACAGATTCTAAGAAAATAAAAGATAAGGTGATTTTTTACAATTCTAACCTCCAAAAGTAAGAAAAAGTAAGATGGGTCCACAAAAGTAAAGAGTGAAATGATAGATAAAAGGGATAAAGTGGGAAATCAAAAAGTAGCGGAGTTCAATTTAGGAAAGTGTTCATATTTTTGGAACAACCCAAAAAAGAAAGTGCATCTTACAAAATGGGACATATGGAGTATAATATGAAGGGAGGAAATGCCATTAAAATGAATAAAGTGCAGATTTTAAAATAGTGATGTATTAGTGTTCACAAATACAAATGACGTAAGCATACATTTGGGATACAAAGAAAGGAGCAGAACAAGGTCACAATAAGATAATGAAGTTGGTTTTCTTAACGAGTCTCCATTTCCTGAAATATTAAGCAATCTGACTTCTTCCCCTACAATTTTGTATCAGTGTTGGTCTAGTTTTTACAACACTTCACTTAATCAGAATTCACCACCACCGCCATCCACCCATCTTAATCCTAGCAGCTATGTTGGAGTGAGAGGCATGGAGTTTATGGTGTTACTTAACTATCTAACAGTAACTAACACCGTATATTTATGCAAATTATGTATCTCCATCATAAACCCTCACCTCAATTTAAAATAAAAACATGCCTACATGTTTCAGGTAATTCATAACTGACATTAACCATTATGAAAGTATGAAGTAAACTACCATAATAAACTTTAAGATAATTCGAATTGAAGCCATCGGGGAACGAATTGTCTTGCTCTTGTCCAACTTCTTCACTTGTCATCTTGAGTAGTTACGCAACCCAAATATTCTCTGCTAGTAACAAACACTAATCAGAATTGGATAGTCAGATCATTGATGAACAAACCATTCTCCTGGCCCAATGCAAGATAAATTCAAGGGACCAAATCATTGAAGTTAAGTAAACAAGCACAACGTTACAATACTAAAATTTAGATTAAAATGCTAAGATCAAATAAGATACTAATTTTTCAACATTTGCAAATTAAACTAACCATGGATGGAAAGTTCTACATACTTCCAATATTTCATTGCTACAAAATTATTAGTCATAAGCATATTTACATCAGTAATGTATCATATCATTTTTATTACATCAAATCATCAACTCATTCAGCTGTTATTGAGAGCTAAAGAATTGAAAGTATGAAACTAGTTGATTGAAAAATCATGCTTAAAAAAAACGGTTCAAGTAGTTAACTCGATTTACCAATTACTAGAAGGTAAATGAGCATCAAAGTGAAGCTGTTAAGCAGCCAGAACGTCACAAACTCAAAATTGAAACACCAACCCAGTGCCAAGATGCAACAGCCAAAAGGAACAAAAAATGCTCTTGATGGGTTGATATCAATTTTTTGATGTCTTAACTGACTGGATTTCTAGTAAAAAAACGGCTCCGTATTATTTTTGTTAGATATTCAAATAGTTGGTATTATTAGAAATAATTTCCAAAGTGTTCATTATTATTGATTTATGAGTGATAGTAGGTAACATATAAAGTTACTTTCCCTATAAACAATGGGAAATTGGGAATTGTGGGGAAAATATAAATATGCAAACAACTTACACTAACATTATATTTAGAAACAGAAAAGAAAGAATCACGCTTTCCCAGCTCCTAACAGTATTCTGGGAAGTGGGAACAAGGAACACTCTTCAAAATAAACTGACATTATATTTAGAAATGAGAAACAGAACAAAAATGCGAACCACTCTTCCGCAGTCCCTAACAATTAACTAAAGAAGAAGTGAAGGAGCTACTTAAAATAATACGGAGTAGTAATCAGTAATCTTAACTCCTAAGTCCTAACTTAATGTTCTGTGCCTGAGTTGGAAATCGGAAATAAGATGCACTCTAACATTACATTTTTACCTGGCTGACCACTCGGCCGTCGATAAAGACGCTGAAGCGTAGCAGAGTTTTACGCTGACGTGATGATGTTTTGGGCCGATGTAAAGTTGTTTTTATAAAACATGGGCCACACTTTGGCAGATTTTGGCGGGCCTTAACTGTTACGTGCCCAAGTCCAAATTGGTCTGGGATGAATTTGGTCTTCCTGTGTTTTTGCATCACATATCGTAATTTCAACTATTGTCGATTCACTGTTAATAATCTCAATTATCAATTTATTTTTGAGTACTTCCAACTATAGAAAAAAATTTCCAAAAATAATTCCTAACAATTTTCTATTTTTTGCTTTTAGTTTTTTTAATTTATTCCTATTTTATTTATTTTAAATTATGTTCTATATATTTTTATGATACATTTTATCGAATAATTTTAGTGATTTCGGATATAGGTTTTGATGGATTTGGCTATTTTAATGAAAAGATATTAATATTATAATTTAAAGTGATATAATGGAAACTGTAAACAAATGTATAATTAAACGATAATGAGTGAAAAGGTATTTACAGTTTTTTACAATTTTCATTATATCAATTCAAATTATAATATTAATATCTTTTTCATTAAAAGTAGCCAAAACCTCCAAAAACTATACCCCAAATCACTTAATTTAAAAGATATACTATATCATACTTCATGTAATTTATTGAATACAATAATATAAACTAAATAAAATATAAATAAATTAAAAATACTAAAATTTAAAAATAGAAAATTTAGATTTTAGAATTAAGATAGCATAAAAAATTACACTATCATGAGAAAAGCTTGAATAAAGCTCTAAATCGCAAAATTTTTAATCACAATTTACTTTTTGAAAATAGAAAATGTAAATTTCAATTAAAAATAATAATGCAAAATTATAAATCGGTGACACAACTGGAAAAAAACAAATTGAAAAATACTAAAGAATGAAATTTTATTGAAAATAAATAAAAAAAATGACTACAAATATTTATTGAACGTCAGTACAATTGTAAAATTTTCATAATTATTACAAGATGTTTGAAAATATTTTGTTTGGAAATTTATAAAAAATGTTTCTATATCTTTCGAAAATTGAGAGTTGATAATTGAGATTAATAAAAAAAGGACGACTATAGTTGAGATTATTTATAGATTACGCGCGCATAGTTCGCATACAAAATTGACCTGATATACCCGATTGTAGCGGTTAGGGACTATTTTTGAAAAATGATCCATATAATTGAGACCGCCCAAAATTAATAGATAGTTGGGATTACTAACCGCGGATCGATCGAAATTAATTGGAATTATTATTTTCAATTTTTCCTTTTTTATTAATATTACTCCTAGTATAAGAAATGACTAAAAAGTGACTAGAGGTTTATGATTTCATAAATGTGAAGCTGATAAGAGAGTTTTCGTTGTGCGCTAGACGACCCTAAGGGAAACCCTATGCTGCCATCTCCCATCTCTTGCGACATCTGGTCTACGAGCATTTTCTTCTTCAAGTAGTAAGAGTTTTGGAAGATCTAAAAGAGGGAGCCCGAGGTGCAGAATGACGCTGAGTGTAATAAGTCGTGTGAATAAGAATCCAGTAGCATTTAAGACCAGGCATTTGGCAAGAGCTAGATCGGCAGCAATATCTTGCATATTTTTAAGATATTGTGATATGGTGCGTGAACCACAAGAGTCTCGAGAAAGACTCCCAAGTTGATTGTGTTGTTGCAGCAGATGAAATTAACGGTTGAATAGCCTCAGAGCAGCTACCAAGCAGAGCGCTAATAGAACTTGCTCTTGTCTATACCAAATATAGTAGCAAGGATTGAGAATAGGTTTCAAGGCATCGAAGAGAACCATCGATGTAGCCTAATAGACCAAAACCAATAAGAATGCCTTCAACCCGGTGACGCCGGACTACAAAAATTTACAGAAGTGAGCTTGATCGGAAAATGAGTTGGCGCATTCAGCTATAAGACAACGGTGGTAGAGAAAATAGACATGATGGATCGGGAAAATACAATTAGGATCTAACAGTTTAAAATCTACTCGTTTTGGATACCATGTAAAGGATGTATATTTTATTAATTAGAATGGGAGGCATACAGGGGGAAGTGGTCCAACCCAGCTGGTCGTCAACTCACTCTCCCTTACGAGAGGTCTCGGGGTTCGAAACTCAATGGAGTGAGTTTCAGCCCTGATTACTCCACGCCGCCCCAGACGCTCCGTGGAGTAAAAAAAATGGGAGACATACATGAGTTTTAATAGTAGTAGATACAAGAGGTCTTATCTACTTATACAAGTGACTTGGGTATAAGAGATGAGGAGAGGTTGTTACACTTGATAATAAACTGTGTACTATTTTTATCACTAACAGATCGAAGAATAGTGAACAAAGATATATGTAGTACTCTATAATATAATACTGATATTATTTTTTCCATTTTAAAATACTCCCTCCCTCCCGCTAAGATTGTCTCATTTTACCTTTTCGGGAAGTCCCACTAAGACTGTCTCATACCAAATTTGGTAAAGTTTATGTGGCTCTAAACCATTCTTACTTTATTCTTACTTTATCAATTTAATATCAACCACACAAACCCACTTTTCTTAATAATCGTGTCACTTTCTCTTGTCCCAATCTTAGTGGGACGGAGGTAGTAGTGTCTTTCTCAATTAATTTTCCATATTTGGCATGCCAAGAACATGTAAGCTAGGAATTTATCATCAAATGAATGGAACATACCTAGGTTTGATGAATTTTTACCTATACCATTTGAATAGGTTTGATGAATTTTTACCTATACCATGTGAAAAGGGAAAAAGGCTTGATCGAGATTACGGAGTAATAGAAAATCAAGAGGAAAACCGAAGAAAAATGCATGTGAAGAGGGTAGGAGAGTAGGTAGTATGTAGTACAAGACCCCAACAATAATGTCAGATTTGGGCATCAAACCTTATTGAAAAATGGAATGATCACAAGTAACCTTTGCTACCCTGCTCGCTTTTATAACCTTAAATTGACATAGTGCAAACTATTTAGGTGAGTGAATACTTTGTGACATATTGAGCCCGTTTGGAGAACTCTGTTTTCGGCTTATCAGGCTTATCAGCCAGCTTTTTCACCAAACACATAACTTTTACTTTCGCGCGCTGAATTGTGTAATAAGCCGAAAAAGTAAGGTTGGAGTTACTTTTCTGGCTGTATTGGCTGAAGTTACTGTAGAGGACCATTTTAGCTATTTTTACATATAATTTTTTCTTTAATTTATTAATAAAATATATTTTTAAAATATTTTTTTCTTAAATCAGCAGAATCAGCCAAAACAGCCACTCCAGCCGGAATATCATAAATTTCAGCAGAATCAGCCAAAACAGCCGATTTTGGTGCTACCAAACGGGCTCATTGTTTCACATCAACTAGCCAGCTCTTGTGGCCTATACGGGAACAAGAATCTTGCCTTTGCTTGTGTTTCTTCTGCTGGCAAGCATATCCCCTTTTTAAATTGAAAGTGTGTACATGACCATCACTATTGCCATATATGACCTGTCAATTCACATTTAAATATAATATAATATACGTACATGCCACATCTATGATGTTAATATACACATATCCAAAATTGACCCGTGCATATCTGCATCTTGTATAAAATTGACCTCTCCCAGATCGCAACTTATAATCGATAAGAGGAGTAGTCCAAAGCCTTATATAGTGTTTTATTGTTTTATAGCTTTCCGGTGTGGACAAATACTTTATCACGCCCCTCAGCCCGAACCCGGCTGGACAATATCGGCTTGTCATTTTTTTAATAATCAAATCATCATATTTCATAGGGGCTCATACCATGGATCGATTTGGATTTGATATCATGTTAAAATCAGGGGTTCCATCCTAAAAGGATAGGAGGAGTAATCCAGATCTTAATATAGCATTTTATTCCTTCATACGTTTTCGGTGTGGGAATTCAACAACAAAATAGACTTTTTGTAATGCTTTCTTTGTAACAATTTTTTGTGACCTAAAAACATTTAAAGTTTGAATGTTGCAACACATATTGATAAATATTGCATAAGCCTTTGAATAATAATGCTTGAAACCCGAAAAAATGAACCTGGTCTAGGCCCAAGCAGTGCTGGACTCGATTATGAAGATTGGGATGGTTGGGGTGGAAAGCATCAGCACAATTATTATCACCACAGCCGTGGAGGAAGCACATCGCGTGTTACAAAACATATATTATTTGAAATTTCAGTTATTAACGGTAAATGTATCATGAACTGTTTTTTCTTAATGACCAGTTAACCATGCCATGAGTTCTTAAAAGTTAGATAGAGCTAATTGAAGAATACATTTTTTTGGTTTTTTATTTGGTTATACCGTTATAGTCTCTTATGGTATTTTGTGCCCACCCTAGATACTATCACTCTTTAATTTTTTAGTCAATTATAGTGAAAGAGTACAATAAAATAAGTCATGGTGCAATTACACATGACATATGAAGCCATAATAATGAAGCCATCTATGACTCTGACTCTAAGATTTCCAATTTACTTCAAACCTTCATAAGTAGTAATATTCTTATCCCAAACAAAAGTAGTCGTATAACTTCCATTGTAGGTATTAGGTATATATTCATCATTTTTCATTTTACATTACACATCCAGACTTATAAGGCCAAAGACCAATTATTTATCGTGGTTGACATGCCAAAATATTTTCTTTATCTGCCTTAATTAGCTAAGAAGCTGTTCCGTTCACCTGATCTGAATGTTTCTGATCTGAATTTTTTAAGTTCTGATCTGATCTGATCTGAATCTTTCTGATCTGATCTGATCTGATCTGAATCTTTCTGATCTGATCTGATCTGATCTGATCTGAATCTTTCTGATCTGATCTGAATCTTTCTGATCTGATCTGAATGTTGCTGAACTGATCTGAATGTTGCTGATCTGATCTGATCTGAATGTTTCTGATCTGATCTGAATGTTTCTGATCTGATCTGAATTCTTCTGATCTGAATCTTTCTGATCTGATTTGAATATTTCTATAATTGTAATTGTAATTACAATTATAATTATTAGATTTATAATTGTAATTAAAAATATAACTTAAATAAAATTACAATTATAATCATAATTATAAAAAAATAATAATTAAAATTAAATTTAAAATTATAATAATTATACCAATTACATTAATTATAAATACAGATACAATTATAAATGTAATTATATTTTTAATTATGATTAATTTTATAATTATTATTGTAATTATAATTATAATATTTATTTCTATAGTCATAATTATGTCTATAATTACTAATTTAAATATATAATTACTCCGAAGTAATAATAATTACAGCAATAACAACAAGAACAACAATCATATTAATAATAATGATGATTATAATTATATTATATTATATTATATTATATTATATTATATTATATTATATTATATTATATTATATTATATTATATTATATTATATTATATTATATTATATTATATTATATTATATTATATTATATTATATTATATTATATTATATTATATTATATTATATTATATTATATTATATTATATTATATTATATTATATTATATTATAATATATTATATTATATTATATTATATTATATTATATTATATTATATTATATTATATTATATTATATTATATTATATTATATTATATTATATTATATTATATTATATTATATTATATTATATTATATTATATTATATTATATTATATTATATTATATTATATTATATTATATTATATTATATTATTATAATATAATAATAATTTTATATTATTAACATTATTATTATTATATTATTAATAATATTATTATATTAATATATCAATATTATTAACAATAACTATAATATAATAATCATAATTAATATAATAATAAAAGTGATAAATCATGTTTGAATTTTTTGACCTGATCTGATCTGAATGTTTCTGATCTGATCTGAATGTTTCTGATCTGGTCTGATCTGGTCTGAATCTTTCTGATCTGATCTGAATGTTGCTGATCTGATCTGAATCTTTCTGATCTGATCTGAATGTTTCTGATCTGATCTGATCTGAATCTTTTTGATCTGATCTGATCTGATCTGAATCTTTCTGATCTGATCTGATCTGAATAAAATAAGATTAAGGAATAAGTAATAAGATTAAGACGAACGGAACAGCTTCTAAGTGTGCAAGCCCTAAAGTGTGAGATACATGTTCAAGAGGTTGACAGTTGACACCGTATTCAAAAAAGAGATCAGATAGTTGTTACTCCGTATATTACAACTGTAATCCTCAAAAATGAAAAACGTATATAGTGAATAGAAAATAAAATATGAAATGAAGAATAAAGAGTTATAATGGATAATAAAAATTTAATGAAGGTCAAATTAGGATATTTATATTTTAATTAACCAAAAAGTGAAATGTATATTACAAAATGATACAAATAAAATATAACAATGTTTTATGTGGAATACTACTTCGTATTATTATTCATCAAAGTTGGTGCATGTTTTATTGGTAACAATAGATAAGAAAAAATATTTGTATATAGCATGACATAAAAATAAATGAACCTGATCATCAGTAATTTGAACAGCAAAGGCATCCACAATAGCCAAAGAAAGTGTCTTCTTGTAGGAGCCAGCCTCCAATGCATTTGATAAAATGAAGAATCAATGATAAAAGTAAGAACTGATATTGAGAGTACTAAGTTTCATGTAAGATAGAAATCATGCGCACAACTACTTCGTAGCTTCCATTACATGTTGTATAAATATTACAATAATTTTGATGGAAAATAAGGTAGAGGGCCATGCACCTTAAGTAACCCACACACACATGCTATATAATAAGGAGACACCACACATTACATACTACGTATTTAATAATAGAAATAATGAGGGCCCCAATACTCTCAATACTCCCCCTCAAGGTGGAGTGTGGAGGTCACGAACACCCAACTTGCTCCTGAGAAATTGGAAACGATCAGTGCCAAGTGCTTTGGTGAAAATGTCAGCAATCTGGTTTGTCGTAGATATAGGATATGGGTGGATTTCACCGCTAGCAACACGTTCTCGTACAAAATAACATTCCATTTCAACATGTTTTGTACGTTCATGAAAGACTGGATTGAGTGCAATATGTCGAGCTGCTTGATTATCACAAAATAGAGGTGTAGGACTAGTCTGAGGAACTGTTAGGTCTCGAAGTAACCATCTCAGCCATAAAATTTCACTAACTGTAACGGCCATTGCACGGTATTCCGCTTCTGCAGAAGAACGTGAAACAACAGATTGTTTCTTTGTTCTCCAAGAGATTGGTGAATTTCCGAGAGTGAGAAAATATCCAGTGCTAGATCGACGGGTGTAAGAGCATCCCGCCCAGTCTGCATCACAATAACCTTTTAAAGAGAAATCAGTGTCTGCAGACAAGAAAATCCCTTGCCCCGGAGTCTGCTTTAAATAACGAAGGACACGTACGGCTGCATCAAAATGAGACTGGCGTGGTTGACTGAGAAATTGGCTTAGCTGACTGACAGAAAAGACGATGTCGGGACGAGTAACAGTAAGATATAATAGACGCCCAACTAGGCGACGATATGAGGAAGCATCGGCGGGGGGGCTATCATCATCAGGTCGAAGTTTCAAATTCTGCTCCATGGGAAACTGACTAGGTCGGCCGGCTAGAAGGCCACTTTCTTCTAGGATGTCAAGTGTATATTTGCGTTGACTTAGTACAAACCCCTCCGGAGAACGTGCAACTTCAATTCCAAGAAAATATTTTAATGTACCCAAGTCTTTGATACTGAATTGGTCGTTCAAATACCCTTTAATTTTGTTGATATGAGACGTATCATTTCCGGCTAAAATGACATCATCTACATAGATGAGGGCAAAAGTTTCGATCCGACCTTGTTGAAAAATAAACAATGAATAATCTGCCTGTGATTGGCGAAATCCAATTTTGAGAAGCGATTGAGTGAATTTGTGATACCAATTGCGAGATGCTTGGCGTAACCCATAAAGAGATTTTTGTAATTTGCAAACACGAGTGTCGCCATATTTGGTAAATCCTTTAGGAACACGCATGTAAACATCTTCGGAAAGGTCTCCATGGAGAAATGCATTGTTTACATCTAATTGGTGAACCTCCCAATTACGCTTGACCGCAACGGCCAATAAACACCTTACTGTGACGAGTTTGGCAACAGGAGCAAATGTTTCATGAAAATCAATTCCCTCGACTTGTGTGAAACCTTTGGCAACTAATCGTGCTTTGTAACGTTCCACTTCACCATTAGGTTTATATTTGATTTTATAGACCCATTTTGAGTCAACCGCCTTCTTTCCGGGTGGTAGATGAGCTAAGGTCCAAGTGCCATTTTCTTCTAAAGCACAAATCTCCCTTTTCATTGCATCCCGCCACATAGGATCTAAAATAGCCTTTGAAAACCGTTTTGGCTCATCACGAGAAGTCACTGCCGCTAGGAAGGCTTTGTGTTTAGCAGAAAACCTTTCATAACTAATGAAATTAGAAATTGGATATATTGTCATGTCGCCGTGATTTACGGTTGATCGTGAGTGGTCCAAGGAGGGCGGTAGATCAACATCAAAGTCAGTCAGGTGCTTCGGAGGCCGGCGGACTCTATCACTCTTTCTAATTTCACCGGCAGTGGATGAAGTTTGACTAGTCAAATTAGATGAATTATTTCCCAATTGTACATCCTGATTTGGTTCGTTGAGACCATGTGGAGGAGAGTTCAATTGAGTAATAGGCGTATGAGGTGTATGGGACCAAAGATCAGTCCCTAACGTGTCTGTGTCCATACCTGGAGGGGCCTGCAATCCAGCGGATAAGAGGTGACGAGGGGCTGTACCTTCTCTGCACATGCTGCCGCTGCTGCGTATGGGAGTGCAGCTGTCTTCTTGTGCATGAGAGTGCGTGCCAACTTGTTGCTCGGTAGTTGGGCGGCAGTAGGCAGTTTCCAGGCCATCAATTCCATCCAGGTTTACTGGAGGTTGATTCTCCGGTGGGTTAACTACTGTTTGGCGATAAAAGGTGGCTTTATCACTGGTGGGCAGCCTTGTTTGTCGGGTTTCAAAAATACCAGTAGTGTCGCAGCCCACAATTTTCTGGTATACACGGTCAATAATGCTCTCAAACTCAAGCCCTTCATGATTTATCATTTTAAATGGAAATTCACTTTCAAAGAATGTCACATCTCGGGAGCTAAAAATACTTTGTTTTTGTAAATCAAATACCCTATAGGCCTTTTGACCATAGGGATACCCAAGGAAAACACATGGACTCCCCCTTTCACTGAATTTATCTTTACGTTTATTATTGTGTGCATAAACCAAGCACCCAAAAACACGTAAATGTTCATAATTGGGTTCCTTCCCAAATAACATCTCATAAGGGCTTTTGTTTGAAATAATAGGTGATGGTAGCCTGTTTATAATATAAACAGCTGTAAGAATGCATTCTCCCCAAAAATCAATAGGCAACCCTGACTGAAAACGGAGTGCTCGAGCGATCTCCAAAATGTGTCTATGCTTACGCTCCACAACCCCGTTCTGTTGGGGAGTATCCGTGCATGATGTTTCAAAAATAATTCCACAACGAGCATAGTATTCAGATAAAATGTTGGTTTGAAATTCCACTCCGTTATCTGAACGTATACGTTTAACTCGTGCCTCAAATTGAGTTTCTACTAAATTGCAAAATTGTAACAATTTTTGACAAACTTCAGATTTATTTCTCAAAAGATAAACCCAAACTCCTCTGGTGAAGTCATCTACGATAGACAAGAAATAACGTGCCCCTGAAGTGGAGTCATACCTATAACCTCCCCATATATCACAATGTATTAATTCAAAACGACGAGTAGTCTTACTTGTGCTCTTGGGGAAGGGTAGGCGTGTTTGCTTAGCCCGTAAGCATGGATCACAAAAGCTATTGCTTTGTCGCAGACCTTTGAGAAAAGTGATGTGTTGTAATTTTCCACTTGAAGCATGTCCAAGACGTTGGTGCCATAGTCCAAAATCAAGGGTAGCTGCCATTGCTATCCCTTCACCTTGGGGTAATTCCAGGTAGTATAAACCATTGCGGAATAAACCCTTACCAATTATTTTTCCAGAAGGTAAGTCCTGTAATATACAGGAATCTGAGAAAAAAGTGAGCGAGCAATTGAGATCAATTGTGAGGCGGCTAGCAGAAAGTAAGTTGCATTGGAACCGTGGGACATAAAGAACACGTCGAAGATAAAATCCATTAGGCAGATTCAGACTTCCAACGGCAGAAACCGGGACTGATTCTCCATTCGGGATTCTCACTGTTGAGTCGGATGGATGAGTGAATGAATTGATAAGATTTGCACTATCACAAGTGATATGTTCACTTGCACCGGAATCAATGATCCAAGTGCGAGTGCGAGGCGGAATTTCTGTCATTCCGATTCGAGCACCTTGAAAAAAAAAACAATTAAACTCTCAAAATTTAACTAGTATTTTGACTGCCAGGTTTCGGCTCTGATACCATGATAAAATGAAGAATCAATGATAAAAGTAAGAACTGATATTGAGAGTACTAAGTTTCATGTAAGATAGAAATCATGCGCACAACTACTTCGTAGCTTCCATTACATGTTGTATAAATATTACAATAATTTTGATGGAAAATAAGGTAGAGGGCCATGCACCTTAAGTAACCCACACACACATGCTATATAATAAGGAGACACCACACATTACATACTACGTATTTAATAATAGAAATAATGAGGGCCCCAATACTCTCAATAGCATTGGCCAACAACTCATCGTGTTTCTTGCTCAAATACTCATCTAGCTCTTCATCACTTCCCCTCTTTGCACTGCTATAATCAATTTTCAAAACATAAAAAACATTTTCATAGGAGGAACACAATATAAATCTAGTACTCCGTATTTGGGGGTGTTCGGGTAATAGTTTTTTACACTAAAACGACATTCTTTTTTAGCAGAAAACGCTGCATTTTGCAGCGTTTTCCAATCCGCTGAAAAAGGAACGGGGCCAAATAAATGAAAATGAAACAAGGGTGATCGAGATAGAAAAGAAAAGAGAATCTGGCCTTTTAGATCGTAGACGCTCATATTCTGGGTCAAGATTCATGAAGACAAAGTATAGCTCCTTTGCTTTAGTTGCAGCCATCCCAAATTACACCCTCAACTCTCTCTCCCTGATCTCTTGTTGTATAACATATGTGTGGCACTAGCTAGCTGTCTAGCAGCTAAAAATTTAGCGTGCTAAGCTGTTACTCCCATTTGGTTAAAATTTTATCATCTTTTTGATAAATTTGTTCTACTTTAGAGGCTTATATTTTGTTTATACAAAATTATTTATAAAAAAATGATACCCCTCCGTATTTTTTTATTTGCTACACTTTCCTTTTTTTGGATGTATTCAAAAATTTGCTACGTTTTCCCTTTTTGGTAAGTTTTTCCTTCAAAAATACACAACTACCCTTACTTTTTCTACTTTTTATCTTCTCTTTTATACTTTTCCACCATCTCTCTTGTTTTTTCTACACTATTCATTAACCCTACTATATATTTCACTCTTAAAAAATGTGTCAACACCTATTGTAGCAAACAAAAAAAATACGGAGGGAGTATGAAAAATATCTTTTGTTAAAAGTACTTTCATAAATGCAAAAAATTTATAACTTCTGTAATATTATACTACGTACTAATAAAAATCATCGACCAAATAAACTGTATCACTATTGACTTGAAAAATCAAAGAAGACAAAGTTTCATAGGCTAATAGAGTTTGAAAATTCCAAAATAGGACTATCATGTTGTTTATTCCCAAAATAGGAATAATTACTGTCAAGTTTAGAAAATATTGTCATGTTTGAAGTCTGGTCCTGCCAAAACATAACAATAATTAGTCTTATTTTGGGAATAAAAACATGACAGTCCTATTTTAGAATTTTCAAATCTTTTTAGTCCTATTTCGGGTAATATACTGATATTTTAGTATTTGAAAACTTATCTTACAATACAAGGGAGATAATATTTTGCCGACATTGACTTTTCCAATATGTTTTTGTTGCAAAATGTCCTTTTTCGTTGAAGTGTTATTTTAATGAACAAAATTATAAGTTGCAGGATCTGATATGCAAGTAAAATTATGGGACGGGGCTACTAGTGATCACAAGCCAAAAGTTTGGAAAAAAAAATATAAAAGAATTGAAGGGTTAAACTCTAGTGTACCCTCAACATATCTTACTTTGAAGTTGTTCGTTCGTCTTAATCTTATTACTTATTCCTTAATCTTATTTTATTCAGATCAGATCAGATCAGATCAGAAAGATTCAGATCAGATCAGATCAGATCAGAAAGATTCAGATCAGATCAGATCAGAAACATTCAGATCAGATCAGAAAGATTCAGATCAGATCAGCAACATTCAGATCAGATCAGAAAGATTCAGACCAGATCAGACCAGATCAGAAACATTCAGATCAGATCAGAAACATTCAGATCAGATCAGGTCAAAAAATTCAAACATGATTTATCACTTTTATTATTATATTAATTATGATTATTATATTATAGTTATTGTTAATAATATTAATATATTAATATAATAATATTATTAATAATAATATAATAATAATGTTAATAATATAAAATTATTATTATAATATAATAATATAATATAATATAATATAATATAATATAATATAATATAATATAATATAATATAATATAATATAATATAATATAATATAATATAATATAATATAATATAATATAATATAATATAATATAATATAATATAATATAATATAATATAATATAATATAATATAATATAATATAATATAATATAATATAATATAATATAATATAATATAATATAATATAATATAATATAATATAATCTAATATAATATAATATAATATAATATAATATAATATAATATAATATAATATAATATAATATAATATAATATAATATAATATAATATATTTATAATTATAATTATAATTATGATTTACAATGTAATTATAATTATAATCATCATTATTATTAATATGATTGTTGTTCTTGTTGTTATTGTTGTAATTATTATTACTTCAGAGTAATTATATATTTAAATTAGTAATTATAGACATAATTATGACTATAGAAATAAATATTATAATTATAATTACAATAATAATATTTATAAAATTAATCATAATTAAAAATATAATTACATTTATAATTGTATCTGTATTTATAATTAGTGTAATTGGTATAATTATTATAATTTTAAATTTAATTTTAATTATTATTTTTTATAACTATGATTATAATTGTAATTTTATTTAAGTTATATTTTTAATTACAATTATAAATCTAATAATTATAATTGTAATTACAATTACAATTATAGAAATATTCAAATCAGATCAGAAAGATTCAGATCAGAAGAATTCAGATCAGATCAGAAACATTCAGATCAGATCAGATCAGATCAGCAACATTCAGATCAGTTCAGCAACATTCAGATCAGATCAGAAAGATTCAGATCAGATCAGAAAGATTCAAATCAGATCATATCAGAAAGATTCAGATCAGATCAGATCAGATCAGAAAAATTCAGATCAGATCAGAACTTAAAAAATTCAGATCAGAAACATTCAGATCAGGTGAACGGAACAGCTTCTTTGTCTACGTGAATCAATTAAAATACAGTAATTGAATAATTTGCATATATTTCAATGAACCAATCAAAAGAATGTTAGCTAAATTAAAATACCCTCAAACGTAGCATTCAATTATAAAAAGTTGCTTGTAGATAGAAGTAAAACATGAGTAAGTGATAGCTAGCATAAATAGGAGCAAACTCGATATATAATTTAGTCCTAAATAAAAAATAAATTTGTTTAGTACTACGGATGTTTTCTTTTGGACTGAAATTTGCTGGTCTGGTCTGGTCTGGTCTGTTTAAGTCTGGTCTGGTCTGGTCTGGTCTGAACTGGTCTGGTCTGGTCTGGTAAACGTCTGGTCTCTGTGTATTTTATAACTATCCAAGTCTGGTCTGGTCTGGTCTGTTTAAGTCTGGTCTGGTCTGATCTGGTCTGATCTGGTTTGGTCTGGGACTGAAAACAGTCCAAAAGAAAACATGTACTTCTTAGTTCTTATCTCGGAGTGGGTGAGTCTTATTTGAAGAAAAACGGTGGTTCACTGTGAGATCAATGTGTTATGTTTTAGGGCTTATGTAAAACCCAACGTAAATCGGCAAAAATCTATTGAATTGTCTGAATCTACAAAATTGTGAAAAATGTTATAATTAAATACCGACTACCGAGTATGTTTTATTAAAAGAATAAAGATTAAACTATACTCCTTCCATTCTAGAAAGGTTCGCCAAATTGACTTTTCTTGGTCAATGAAAATCAATTTTGACCAACGATATCTCTTAATGTGAAATTATTTTGAATATGAAAATTATATCAAAATGTCCTTATTCAAAATATTTTCATAAAAGTATGAAATATGTAAACTATATACAAATACAATAACTAAAATTATTGTCCAAGGTTTATCAACATTGACCAACAAAAGTCAATTTGGCGAACCTTTTCAAGATGGAGGTAGTACATAGTTTGAAGTACGAACTACGAAGGGTAATAGTGAAAGTAGTCCTCTTTTTTTATCATGAAAGTAGTCCTCTTAAAGAATCAATTAGAAAAAATAAGTTCAATCATACTTATTTTTATTATTTCGAAACTTAACATGCAAAATAAGTCCTCGAACTATTTTCGTTTTTGCAATCAGACCCCTGAACCAGAAGAAGTACTAATACACTCTTCAACTCATTGAAAATCAAGCAATCAGGTCCTTTTTTACCCGCACCAGCGGGTAAGGAGATGAGAAACTGTCGACACTAGCGGGTAAAAAAGGACATGATTGCTTGATTTTCAATGAGTTGAGGGGTGCATTTGTACTTCTTCCGGTTCAGGGTCTGATTGCAAAAACGCAAATAGTTCGAGGGCTTATTTGCCTATTTTCTCAAATAAAATATACATGTTCGATAAAATAAGTTGACCAATAAGACTGATAAAATTAAATGAATACTCCCTCCGTCCCATAATTATCTTCATTCTTTCCTTTTTGGTTCGTCCCAAATTTATCTCCTCTTTCCCTTTTTAGCAAAGGATTTGTGGTTCACAACCATTCTTACACATTTCTCTCTCCTCTGCACAACTCTCCACCACACATTTCCCACTTTCTTAATCTCCGTGCCCAGTCAAAACCGAAGTTAATTCTGGGACGGAGGGAGTATAAGACTTATCAAATGAACTTTTAATTTTATTTATGATTTTCTTTCTTAGTGCTTACATGCAATTCAAATAAAATATTTGTTCGATCACATGGAAACTATTTAGTTTGTGAAAACCTAAAATAAGTATAAAAATGTTCTAAACAAAAATCCCACACAAAATCTTATCCGTATAGACAAAATGTTTTCGGCAAGAACAAAAAAATCACTACAAAAAAACATGCGTGTAGTCACGGACATTAGTCACGGATTTGGTCTGTGACTAGTTTGTCACGGTCGTAGTCACGGACTAATCACGGACTTTCAAAAAAAATAGTAACGGATATGACCGTGACTACGTCCGTGACTAAAAATAGTCACGGTTATATCTGTGACTACTTTATTCCGACCAACCCACGTTTTCCTCCGGTGGGATTTTTTTTGAATTTTAAATTAGTCACGGATCTACCCGTGACTAATTCCATGACTAGGCCCAAAAAATAAATTTTCTAACGCCCAAAAGTTAATTCGGACTGGTAATCTGTACGGACGAACGTAGTCACAGACACATCCGTGACTACGTCCGTGACTATTTTTTCCATATATGCAGCTGCTGGTTCATCCACATAAACACACAAAATGTTTAGAAAAACAACAGAAAAACAACACATTGAAGGATGTAATCTATCCATCTTCTATCATTTTCCCTGTTTATGCAAATAAGGTATGTAATTTGAATTACGTTTTTTTTGTGTAAATTATTTGGTTCATATTAACAGTAGTAACAAGTTAAATTAGCTAGAGAGATTATTAATTATGTAAATTTCATTTAATTTTGTGAAATTTGGTTAGTTAAACGTAGGTTTAATCGTAGTGACGCATTAAGTTAAATTAATTAGCTAAATTAGTTAAATTTTTGTTAATATTAGTTAAATGTAAATTAAATGCATTTAAAAAAATGTTTTTAATTAATTAACGAAGTATATTATATAACATTAGTTAAACGTAAGTGTAATTCAAACATAGGTTAAATGTATGTTGTTAAAAAAATGTTATTAATTAATTAACGAAATAAATTAGTTTAAATTAGTTAAACAT